AGAGAGACATAGAGACAGAAAGCGAGAAATCACCCCCCAGAGGGGATGGTCATGCCGCAATCCCTTCTCCTCCATTCTCCTCTCGGAATCTTGGGCACGCACGCACACGCACCCGGTGTGAGTTTTAAGCCACCGTGTCCGGGACGCAAACTGCGGTCGATTACGTGGGATTCCAACGACATAGCCATTACGCTAACTGCTGGTTCCCGATCAAATAATTTTTTAAGAGAGATTTTTGCTATAGTGTGCCTGTGCTCACTGAAGAGACAGAGACAGAAAGCAAGAAATCACCCCCGGGGGGGGTGGGCCCTCCACTATCTCTTCTCCATTCTCTTGGGATTTGGGGCACATACACACACGTGCCTGGCATGAGTTTCAAGCCGCTAGATCTGGGACCTGAACTGCGATCAACTCTCGGAGCCCAGCCATTTAACCATTATACCATCTGCTAGTCCTGAAATTAAAATAATTCTAGAAAACTATTTTTTGTTGTTAAATTTCCAAAGCATGCATGTACTTGACAGAGACAGGGAAAAAGCACCCCCTAATGGGGCATGGTCATGCCACATCCCATCTCCACTTCTCCATCTCAATGGGATTTGGGCACCCACGCACACATGCCCGGTGTGCTTTTCCAGTTGCCAGGGCTGGGGTTGTGTGTGATCAGTCATGTGGGATCTGGTTCTTATAACCATTAGACCATGGGGCCATTTTATTAAATCTTTTATTTCCAACTAAAAGTAGTGTGTGTGTGTGTGTGTGTGTGTGTAATATTTTTTTTCAGAGGGAGATTTTTTGTTATAGGATATGTGTCCTTGCAGGAGAGACAGCATAAAATCATCCCCCAGGGATCATGGCCACTCCGCAATCTCTTCTCCATTTTCCTCTCAGGATTTTGGGCACGCACATACACGCCCAGCGTGAGTTTGAAGCCGCTGGGTCCAGGTACGTATGTGTATTTTGCAGGATATCATTCAGGATGCCTGAGTTGGGGATAGTTTCTGGAGGTTTCTAGTTGTTGGCTATTTCTCCCTCTGGCATAATCCCCATGGAGACTCATGGACTAGTCTTCCAGAGGCCTGAAAGCTGCGTTTTTGCATTTTTGTCCTTCCACTGCTTAGTTTCTTCCAGAAATGGCCCCTGTAGACACACAAGGCCCTCCTTCTGGCCCTCCCAATCTCTTCCCTCCCTTCA